TGTGCTACATGGGGGGAGTGTGGCGACTTGAACTACCGCACATATGTGCGTAGTTCTATGTCGAAAACAGACAGAGAGACAGACAAGTATGCCAAAATGAAGGTTGTTTTTGAAAAAAACTCAGTTCCTCCGAACGGATTGTAAGACGTATTTAATGTGTGAGGTATTCCGATGCTGTTTAGTTGTTGCCAGAGCCGAAGTAGGTGGAGCGGGACTCGAACCCGAAACTCATTGGCTAAAAGTCAAATGATTGAACTAATAAGCTACATCTTCACGAAGAGTGTCAGTTCCTATAATGGACAGTTTCTCAGTCTATTTAAAGATCATGTTTAATATCATTAGAGTTAAACTGACTGAGGTTTCGTATGAGGCGTGTGAGTTCGGTGAGATTCCCTGTACCTGGCTGGTATCTACGCCAGAGACTTTCTTGTGAAATTACAACTTTCCAGATCGTAGATGTTACGAATTTCCTGGAATAATTTCAGCACCGAGTCAGAATCACTATAAATTATTTAAAATAATTCATAACTTTTTTGTGATAACCAAAGAAGCGTTAGTTAAACCAGTATGGTTTCTAAAATTATAACGTCACGTAAGAACCCATTTACTCGGAAAAGATGTTTCAAAACCAGGATACGAGCCACACCTACTGTGTAAGGCTTGATGATACTACCCAGTTGGCTAAGCTAAAGTAGTTAAAGCGATAGAACTTTGGTCTGCGTAACGAAAATGTCAAGTTGGATTCTGAGGACAACAAACCTAAAGAAAATCAGGCAAACAACAGTATTATCTAGTCGTGGGTCATTAGAATACAGCTGGTAAAACTCCATACATGGAATAATTGGCTGAGTGATCAGCCACCTTGGTCTCGTAATCTGAAAGTCACGGGTTCGATCACTAGTGGAGTCGTGGGTGTGCACTGATGAAGAATCTCAATCTAGGACGAAGCAGCTGTCCATTAATCCCTGGTCTTCAATGATCATGCCTCTATAAACGACTTGGTACAGCCAAGGGTTGGTATACTTCGGTCTCCCTCACGAAATGCTCTCTCTCTCATGTGGCCGAGCCTTCATAGCCTCTGCCAGTTGAGTCTTGTTCACTGCCTTCACACAGCTCACATGTTCCTCATATAAGTAGAAGGGTGAATCCGAACGTCTGGAGCTAACAACCAGACTGGTAAACATGCCAGTCTATCTCTGGGAGCTGAGCAACCGTGACTCACACACACGCACACATGAGATCCAGAATCCGAACAAAGTGAATGGCGTATGGACCAGGCTCGGTCACTGAGATGCATGAGAATGGGTCTTCGGACATCGCCCCACTGCAATGTGGACATCAGACATTAAGACAAAAGCTCGGCGGATGGCCTCTTAAGACAACCAGCTACTTCAGTCTAGGCCTCCGGGCAGTGTTCCGGCCCCCAAACAAACTTTAAGATTTTTTATGGAGCATTTCTTGATGTCGATAATGTACTAAGTTTGTGTTTTAATGATAATGATGCTAGATGGTTGGAGGCAATCAGCCCGACCGATAACTGGTACCTTGACGTGGTGGTCGCTGGGCATTGCATATCGCAATGACCCAACAAGTTACACTGGCTGGGACTATTTTTCCTGCAGGTCCTACCATGCCAGGAAGGTTGTTAGAATAGCGGTTAGACTGAAAGCAGTTACCGACATAGTGTAAGAATTTTCTGTTGCACTATGCTGGGGGTCTGTGGGCTAAGTCAAACTTCTGGGGAGCAGGGATGTAACGGCAGTGAGGTGTTTCCCTCAGATGACCTGCATGCCAGCCAGCTATGCTGTCTCTCCACTCTAGAGAGAAGGGGTTAGACAAGGTCGACCCCGAAAATTGTTCTTTCCGACTTATTCTACGATGGTCCGTAACCGGTGGTAAATTTACTAATACGGAACCAATCCAAGAAACCAGTTCACACAGGCCATGTGTGACTGGCCTCAAGCAGTTATCCCCTGAGCTCTACGGTCACGCAACACTAACCAACCCTCTTTCTGTTTCAGGTATCCGAAGAATCAATCAACTTCTACGGTGTGGGCAGCCGGGAAGTAACACAACCACCCACACACTTCCAGTCAGTCAGTTCTACCGAAGGAATAATCAAGAATTACCTAACCGTGAAATCCTTAGAACAATGTATTCAAATATATATTTTGACAAACTTTCTTATATAGTATCACTGGTGCAAAACAGTAATAAACATTTTCTTAATTGAATCTCATTTAGAACTCGTAGTCACAACGATGGTTCAATGGTAGAATGCTCATCAGCGCCATGTTGGAGGTTCAGATGCCACTCCAGATCAACGCACTCCTAAATAAATCTTGTCTAGTTTACTGGCAAGTTGGACAGATGAGACTAACAATCCCATCCCGGAGAATAAAACATCATCGCTATTCAGACTTTGAAGATGTCTTACTGGAACAGAAAAAGAATGAGAAAAGACCTCGTCGACGTTAAGCGGAGGACTTCAATGATCACAGTAACTCAGAGATTAACTGCTCTTCGTAGTGACTAATCATCAATAAACACATCCTCCTCCTAACAAGTCTGATTTACAAATGTAGTGGGGTGGGATACGTGAAATACTAGACGTATGTGAACAACTGCAGATGACATCAAGTATATGTGTGTATAAATGAAAAAAATTATTGACGGTAAGTTGTATATATTTGAAATTTTCTCACTTTTTATGTACACCTATATTATTATTATTCATGCTATGATGAATAGGACATTATACAGTAGTAGAGCTCTTAATACTATACTAACTATACTATACGCTTTTTGCTAATTCCGGATATGCCTTTAAGCATCATGGTGTTTAGCCTTGTTTCAAGTGAACTGAACTGACTAGTCAATGCATCAAAGACTGCAACACACATGCACACATACACATACACACACAATTATTGAACGATTTTATTTTCATTGTGAATATACACAACCCTTCTCTCTACTAGTGTGTGACCAGTTGAAGTAACTAACTAGCATGAAGGAACAGATGCTGCTATACACACACACACACATTAACTAACTAACTAACTATCTATCGAAGACTTGCTTTGTTTGGGCATGAATACAGGTTGTGTAGAAAGTATAAAATAGAAACATGAATTTTCCCTTAAAACAAAAGTCGCAAAATCGTCTATTTGCGTGAAAAATGTCACAGGCATTAAGCATGCCTTAGATTAGATATATGCATGCATACACACAATCTATTTAGCATGACGCATACAAACAGTATTATACACACATACATACATTTACAAGTCTTATCACAATAGCTATAAAATAGTTGTTTTATATATACGCGCCTTTGACTGGTTGGATGGAGACGACAACCAATCAGAAAGTAGATAGATGTATTCTGAATTTATAGTACAATATATACATATATATATAGACATTCACGAAAATAATCGATAAAAGTAAATATCTATCTATCTAGCTATCTATATATCTTTAGAATGAGTCAGCCCTGGGGAGGAAATCAGACCAGATAGATAAGAGGACAGAGGATAAATTCTCAACAAGTCAACGCATACGCACACACACACACAAACACACTAGTCTTGATTATTTCGCTCCATACTAATATTAATGTTCCCAATCTCTCGCTACACAGAAAGGGGTAGACAATAAATAAATTTAGTCTAGTAGATATGATTACAACATACAACAGAGATAAATAAATAACAGGATATGCTGATCACCCTAGGGCTTTTAAATAATAAGCCGTAGTAGTATGAGGTTTGGGGTTATGGAACAACTGCGCAGACGATAATTATCTGTTCATCTGTCTAAGGGAGATTGTAAATGTCATAAGATGATAAGAGGAGTATAAAATAATGCTTGAATACGCTTCCCAAAATTGTATTGATTTCCATCAACTGTTCCTGTGATGGTAGGACAAAAAGGTGCTATGTTCAACTATAAACAGTATATATTGATGCCAATATAAGCTATTTAGCCCTAAATGATTCCGCATCCATCTCTAGGCATCAAAAACACAGTCATTTTACACTTGGGCAATAGTATGCGCGGAGGTGTTGAGTTCATCATACAAGTGTCTTTCCCGCTTATTTTTAAAAAAAATAAATATACACTGTCTTGTTAACTCGATTGTTATTGGCTATTACACACACACACACACAATTATTATTAGAGCTAATGGCTGATAATACTGAACTAACTATGCGTCATACTTACTGTGTGAAGACTATCCACAGTTGACGACCGGTTTGCAGCTAGTGAGTCGGCCACTGGTTCGAGCTCCACTCCACCCTCATATGATAAGTATTCTTAGTCTGGTACATGAAATATCTCTTCCAAGTGATGAAAAGTCCAAACAACAACTCACTTGCTCAGGAGAAGGAATAAGCGGAGCGGGACTTGTAACTCGGGACCCATTCATGAAGCCGATAAATCACATCCTTATTATGCGATGATATATAGTGACTGATACATCATACATAGCATTGGAATGAGAACCCGCAATGGTTTATAGTCGGCAAGGCAATACATAACCTTATTCTACCCTATATATGTTGATTGAGAACCATAAGCTTAGCCTGAACAAATGTAAACAAACCATTTTTAAAGAGAGAGAAGAAAATGTACGCATATTTGTCTCTACAGGGGACAGTGATATATATATATATATATATGTGCATAAATTTATATTGATATGTCTATCACACTAAAACGTGAAAATTGAGGGTATGACTAGTATAATTCTAGAGTGTGTAACATTCGCGCTATTTATACACAATGAAAGCGAAAAATAGAGAAAGCGAGAGCGAGAGAGCGACAGAGTGAGGGAGAAAGAGAAAACTCGCTGTATTATTATTCTTATAACATCAATCAGACAACCTAATAATAAGACAAATAAGAAATGACTAGGAGTAGGTTTATAAAACAAACAAAACAAAAATGCTAACAATACTACTTATAAAATATATATATAAATAGCGACTTACTTTTCCAGATGAATTGACATCATTCAAGGCTTTTTTAGCTTTAGAACCCGGTGGACGACCACGTCGACCACCAGTAGTAGTTAACGGAGGCATTGTGAAATTTGATGTAATCGGCATGCCGATTGGTGGTTTACCATTAGGCATAATAGTAGGTGTAGGCGTTTGTTTAGCTGCTAACGGATGTAATCGTGTCGGTGTTGCAGCAATAACAACAGGAGGTGGAGGAGGAGGAGTAGGAGTAGCAGCGGCAATAGTAACAGTAGTACCACTAGGAGTAGTAGTCGTAGTAGTACTAGTAGAAGTAGAAGTAGTAGTATTCCCAGAAGAATTCCGATCATTCATTGAATTTGTTTTCGATAATTTACATCCACTCGATGTTAAATATGCACTCGAGGCAGTATTAGGTGGTAACAATTTTTTATTTGACATCTGAGATGGATGTAGGGTATTCGCCTTACGATACAATCGTTTACGTTCACCTGTCTCATCGAGAATATAACGTCCATCGATTGTTTTAGCCAATTTTCCGTGTGTAGCTTCACGATCAAGGCATACACGTAGTGTTGCTCCAGTTAACTCTGGTGATGATGACAACGGCGACGGCGACGACGATGATGGCGGTTGTGGTGGTGGGGATGAGGATGATGATGGATTGCTTGTACAATTGTCATCAGCGTTGTTATTGTTGCTGTTCTTATTGTTATTATTATTACTAATTGTTATTATTGAGAAAAAGTAAAGCTCTTTCAACTTGAAATAAACTATAACCACCATTTGGTCCTGGTCGACAATATGGGATTAAATTATTGCATGGTTTCCCTGTAGTAGTAGTAGTAGCAGTAGATGGATTCAACAAATTATTACTACTCTCTATAAGAAGACGCATCGCTTCAATCAGCTTACTAGTGACACTTGGTAAATTTGTATTCCCTATACCTGATATAGCCGCGGTTTTACGCCATTTCGATGGATTTCTATAACTCAAATTCCCCTTGTAATCAACGCATACCACTGCACCAGCATCAGCTAATCGTTGAAGACAAAATTGGGTTTGTTCATAGCCAATATTTTGATGTCGTTTCAACAGGCATGATATACGCTCAAAGTCAGGTCGTGCTTTTCTTTCACGTAATTTATCAATAGCATCCAATATAGCATCACGATGGAAATCAACCGCTTCTAAGGCTTGTATATTTCTGATGTTAGTAAATTTTCCTGATGCTGGAAGGGTTGTATACAATGGTTTCTCGGATTTCACTACAGTAGAAGGCGAAGGAGAGGAAGAGGAAGAGGCAGAAGATGTCACCGGTATCAGTGGACAATCATTATTGACACTTGGTGTGGTTGATGCAGATGATGAAGAGGATGATGACGGTGGTAATGATGATGCTGATGTCGATATCGCCGCTGAATAAGGCGTAGTGGTATTTGCATTTGTCGATAGTGTAGAAAATGTTGTTGTCATTGGTAGGATAGCAGTAGAATTGCTTAGAGGATATAGGGTTGCAGTGTATAACGGTGTGGTGGCATAATTTGACGATGATACTAAGTAGGAATTGGTTGTTGTCTCCGTTACTTGATGATTAGATGATGATGACGAAGATGATGCTGTTGATGATGACGAAAGCGATTGAGGTATACTCAAAGAGATGGGTAGAACACCAACTGAATTCGTCTGAGCTTGTTGATGATGATGATTACTAAATGCAACAGGTAGAGTAGGCAATACCATTGGTTGAGAAGAAGACAACAGATTTGATGACACTGAAGGATATAAAGATACAGGCACTGTAGATACATTTCCTGATGAAGATACAGTTGAGGAGAATGTTGACAGTGAATTATTACTTTGTCCCGCAGGAAGAAAATGAGACATTGGTGTACCGTATGGTGATGGTACAGATGATGATAGATTTGATGAACTGGAAGACAATAGGTTACCGGAGGTTGGAGCAAAAAATGGTAGCATAGGACCTTGAAGTTGTGGTGGACTTGACAGTGGGACTGTACACGTTAGATTTGTTGGATTTGTAGAAAAGCTATTAGATGACAATAAAAATGGTGTTGTATTATTCATAGATTGTGTTGACGGCATCATATTTGTTGGCATAGATAGAATTGTTCCTGGAGTATTCGGCATTGATGAAGGTGAAGCAGGAAACATATTGTTGATAGCAACATATGTAGTTGGACCTCCATTTTGCGCTGTGGTTAACATGGCTGGAAAATGTGAAAAATTGCTGGAACTAAATGACATGCAGCAGCAGTTTGTGGATGATTAAACAGGAATATTGACTTTAGAGAATATAGACTTTACAGACTGTTTAATACGCTGCGCAGATAGTATTCCAAACTTGAACTCATATAACGTAGCTAAGGCGCATCCAAAGTAGAATTGAATAAAATAAATGGTAGAGAAAAGATGCATTCGCTCAATTCATGACCTAACAAATAAGCATCAAGAGATGTGTGTAGGGTAGCTGAACACTGTATAAAGTGAGCGAGAGACAGTGTATGTGCGTTAGTGTGTTTATCTATCAAGTAAATAATGCTAAACATACATTAATACACACACACAAACACACCACATACCACTAGAAGGGCCACACCTAAGATAGAGCGATAACATCCACCCACACATAGACACATACATTAATACACAATCAGCCTTGAATAACAAATAATAGGGTGGATAGAATATCAACCAACCAAAAGTCTGTGTTAGTATTTCCTGATTGGTTAATAATAAAATAAGTGAGCGATACATTATGCATAGTTAACATAATGAATCGTATATAGAGCTAGGGGTATTATTTGACCTTCTCTATAGTATAAATAAGGCCTTCTCATTCATTGACCAATCAGAAGAGAGTAGAAGAGTGTGTCGGCAATATATTTGCATTCCTAACCCATATTGTCTAGGTCATACAACTTTACATTGGTTAGCAAGACTAAATTCAATTGTATAATGTAAAGGGGGAGAGAGATAATATATAACCGCAGAATATAAATCAATAATTTATACACAGGCGAACAATGAAATATTTTTCACGCAAATACGCTTTTTAGCTTATATGAAAATTCAACGAGAGAAAAAAATAGCTCACTTACTAACTAGAGCGTAAGGCAACCAAAAAAGAGAGTAGACGACTAGCGTTTCTTCTTTCACAAAAAAAAAATACCATAAAGCATTGTAGATTAATGTCAGTGTATGCACATACTACGCATACACACTTAGGTCTGCCAACTGACAGTTGAAATGAAAGAGAAGATAAGTAGGCACACTCGCAAAACAGCATGTATATACAAGGGGTTGTCGTAAAAGAGAGAATCGGGTTATTTTTCTATCTCTCTATGTCTAATTCAAATTCTAATCACACTATCTCTCTCTAAACGTGATTGAAGAAAATCACTCTATCTTAGGCGAAGTTGTAATTATTATCTATCTATATATATATATAATATATAGGCATGACATTTGAATTCTGACAAAATGAAAGAATGCCTGTATAATTATGAAATGAAATAAATTTTGAAAAATAATTATTAATACCAGTTTTATACCTAGAGAGATTTGTTGATTACTTCAAACTTCAAACCAAACCATGATTACTATCATTACAATGCTTTGAGACTTGAAAAGTATTGGAGTTATAAAGATAAAGAGCTCAGAGAAATTTTATTTTATTCCCTTGCGTTTTAAATTATTTAATTTAAGATTTTCCCGTCGATTAATTGGACCGAAGTGCTCTCTTTGGCGTTTGAAACTATGGGCACTGGGTTCGAGCCTCCGTGCGAGGAACATCATTACTCACTACGGAGTGCAAAGTACATCCAGATGATGAGTCCCAAATAGGACGAAATGCACATCCTGGTGGATTCCACTGCTAGGCACCATCTACCAGTTAACTTATGAGTTTTAAAGTTTCAATAGAGGTGGTGTTGTTTTTTTGGCTAGGTGCGGTCACTAGCCAACCACTCCTCATGCTAAAACATTCCCTCTTTATCGATCTTATTATCAGCTAAGCAGCTAAGGTTTAGGAGTGCGTCGGATGGGAATCGATGCAGAGAATAGACTGACGCACACACACACATATTTTTTTTATTTTTTTTGATTTACAGCTTGATTCCACACCGTATTTTCAGTACAAGTATGGAATTTTCAGCATGAATATCGGTAGCCCAAATTCAGGCCGACCATAGATATCGGGTGTGTGCCGGCAGGGGATCGAACTCCGGACCATGTGCATGGTCGGCGAGAGTCCTAACCACTGTGCCACCGACGCACACAACGGGCATAAATATTTCGGCATATAACATATTATAAAAACGGAAAATTGTGACGACGCAGTTTGTTACAATTTGTGTAAAATAACTATTTTCGGTGAATATATATATAACAAATAGTAATAATAATTAGTATATAAAGCACAGTATATTATTATTATAATAGTATTATTACTATTATTACTCACCTTGACCTTTACTCAGTTCACTTGTCAACTTGTTCAATTCCATTCAAATAAAAATTTCGTCATTAACGTCGGTAACAGATTACAGGGACTATTTGGTTTTATATGAAAAATATAAAAATCTATACACAGAATTAGTAGACTTTCATATTTTTTTTCTATTACCGCAAAGAAGCCGGAGGAGGGTGGGGTGTGCATAGTGTTGTATATAAACGAATAGTTTTGATAGTGATAAGATTGCATAATGACTTTTTGACCTTTTCAGTCTTTCAAAAATGAGACTATATATGACGTCATCAGTAGAAAATAATTAACTAATTACTAATATCATTTTTTTCAAAATCTCAAGTATATTAAAGTAATTGAAAGAAATTGTTACTTTAACATTAGAAGGTTTATCATTAAAAATAATTTCAACATTGAGATTGGTCGTCGAAAAGGGGAATGAAAATAACACCAAGTGTGTAGCAGGACTTGTAGAGCTTGAAAACAACCTGTGAATTACTTACTTACTGGTCCGACGCCTTACTAGCCAGTCTACGATTATCGTGAAGGGATATGATAACCTTATTACAGCAATTTGGGTCTTATGGGGCTCAGTCAAGTAGTATCCAGTAATGGAGTAGTTAGTCACCCACCATTCAGAGGTCATGAGTTCGAATCCTGTTACAAATCAGATATTCATTCTCCCTTTTGTTAGTTAGTTAGTTCTCAGCATATGTCTACTTCATATATGATATGATAGCTGAAAAAATGAGTGCGGAGGGTGGGTGGGAGAGAATAACATGACCTTCATTTGGAGAGAGGAGTAATTTAGCAGTACTTTTGTGATAGATAAACTGACATATATACATAGCTGGGTGGATAGATAGGTAGACAGACAGACAGGTACACACAGAGTGAGAGGTATCTATTTATTGATGTGTGCTGATCGACATAAGTGTGAATAAATATTGATTCGTTAAACTGTCCTGCACTCGATCACTGGAACAAACTATTGTCCTCGTATTCATATTGAAATCTTATTAATTCTTAGTGTTGATAGGAATATCACTTTGTATGAGAATTCGGTTCCTTATGATCCGCTAATGTCCAGGTGTTATATACTCATTCACCACCCTTACTGAGAGTCGAAATAAAGACCTTCAAGTTACGAGGTGAGAAAGTCGACTATTTAGCCACTGAGACCCTAATCCAATGACCGACCCATGAATTAAAACTTTTATCAATTCGCGATTTATAATGCCACTACCAACCAAAGTCATTGGAGGGTATTTATCGTCACACAAGCCTACTGGGTCCTATCCACCCCAGTAACTTGACCAGGTAATAGGTGCACACTACTGAAGGCTCCGCAAGCTAGCACTGGACATCTTTCTGGTTACTTAGTAGTTGTCTAACCGATGTCAATCAATGAACTAACTTGAAACGAACCCGTTATGATGATTTGATTATTTGTCAAAGTTATTCTGATGAGTCCCAAATGGGACGAAACGTGAATTTTTGATTCTATCGCTAATCACTACCAACTAAGTAATATAATCGATAATTTCAGTAATTTCTTACATAGTGATGAAAATAATTTTTTGAAGAAGTTATAACGTAGGGTACAGGGTTCGAGTCTCAGTGGAAACAATATCCATCGCAGGTATAGTCCAGATGAAGAGTCCCAAAAATTGAGGACGAAATTCTCGGCAAGCCACGTCACAACATCATGTGAGGCATTGAACTCAACGCTGTCAGATGACAAGGTGAGCACACTATCTAATATCGACCAGTAAAACGGAGTCAAATAATATAAAAACTCACCACCACCACCACCACCAGCTTCTCTATGACTGATTACCTTTCAATCCTTAGTCAACTATATCGATCACATACATCAGCAGCAACTCGTCATTAAAACTTTGAAAATGTCAAATTTTGAAGGCATTTTTGTCTAATGAACAATGGAATTAATCATCAATTAATTGTAATTGGTGTAAAAATTAGCTTAAAAAATTATAGTTGATGGTAACTAGTTGTAGTGGAATTCAAAACAAGCATTTCGTCTCATTTTATAATTGGGATTCATCAGTTGATGACGTATTTGCATCTCCAGTGGGTGATCACGTTCTCTCTCTCTCTATCTCTCTCTCATGGAGACTCCAATTCTGCAACTATCGTTTCAAACGCCAAATTACTTTCAATCTACAATAATGTTTACAAAGTTACTTTTTCACTGATTTTTTTTCTTCACATTCCCGGTGGAACATTGGCCTTCAAACAGAGCTTAGAAGTTTCCGTAGCAGTGGTATTTATTTTTTTACGGGATACGGTTGCTAGCCTCATGTCCAGCCTTCTCTCTGCAGCAGTCTTATTATTACTTACTGGCATTTCGAGTTAAAGGACTGCGTCAGTAGACTGGGGATCGGACCCCGAACCACTTGAAGCGTGGTTGGCAAGCATTGTACTGGTGTGCCACCAACGCACTAAAATCAGTTAGCCCAAACTGCAAATTCTCTCTCTCCCTCTAGATTATTTCATTTTGATTTCACATTTGTAAAAAGTGGTGAGGGGTAGGAGGGTTATTTTGTTGAAATATATGTAAATGTTCAAAACTACATCTTGTATAAGAATTACTATCTGAAAAACAAAGAAACTATGGATCTCTGGCATTCAACTTCTAAATTCGTTGGGTTACAGAGTTCGAACCCCAGTCTATTCACAGCAGTAAATGACCAACAAGACAGTAGTGTAACAGCAGAAGACAAGGGTCAGGCAACAGATCGTTTATTAAGGAAATCAAAGCATATTTATATATTTTCATGTACATTATTATAGTTTAGTTAAGCAAACAAACACAGTCTTCTGATTGGTTGTTTCTCACTTAAAGTTAACCTTTCATCTCTTTGTGACTGTTTCTTGAATGTCAGATCATCTATATGTTAACTGTATCCGCCTACGCAAAGTCTACTGTGGTCGGTTTTGAATCAGTCTTTGTTCATATTTCCTCACGACAAATCTTGAGAACGTAAACATTGACGTCAATTACTGTCTACCAATTTGGCTAGTAGACAGCTCTCACCACAGTATCACGTATAGTAGCTCTCACGTATAAGAGATTTTCACTCATTATCAAATAAATGAAAACGATCGACGTAAATTCTTCTGTGTGTATACAAAAAAATATAAGTTACAGTTTGAAAAGAAAAGTATATGTTCCTTACAACTCATTATTATTATTATTATTATTGTTATCATTATTCCCTTGGGTTCCGAATGGTACACAGGGCACATCTCCACTATGTCCTATTTGCTGCGGTCCTTTTTAGAGGGGTCCACGATTGTCAATAGTCTCTGTCATCTCTTCCTCGAAGGATCTCCTCCATGTTACTATCGGATGCTATTTACAGTTTACTGCTAGATAGAGTGTCTACAGTAGAACTGTATGATAAGAATTAATTTATAGGCTAATAAAGGTTAGTATTATAATTATTATATTTCTTTGAGTTCGCAGTGGAGCATGTCGACTTCAAGTATTTGATCTTTAAAATTTCAGTAACAGTGCTGTTATTGTTTTGTATTTTTACAGAATGAGAATAGATAGTCTCACTCCCAACCTTCCTCCTCTTTACTGGACTAACTACTACCAGCCTAGCAACGAGGTTTGGGAATAAGTCAGCCAAATACTGAATAACGAACCACCAGGGGGGCCTGGTTGGTAAGCTTTCTACTTGCTGAACCACCACCACCAACACACACACATACACACACAAGTAAGTATAATTCAGACATTTTCTTAAAAATTGAATCTAACCAACTAACATTTAGTTATTCACTCAATTTTGTTTCCGGTATTTTTTGTTGACTAATTGCCTCGAAATGTTCAGCCTCTATTGACATGATTCGTTGGGGTGGGGGGAATGCAGGTATATCCACTGGCTAATGAATAGTCTCATATAGGATGAATGAAATGCGCATCCTGGTAGTGTATTCTCGTGTGCCAGTCACCATCCATCCACTAAAGTATTCAGTTATATTGTCAAGTGAAAAAAATAAATTTCAAATAAATTTGACCAAGTTCGAACCCATATTTTTTACAAACACACATACACCTTGTGTGACTCACTTGTTGATATTACTCAATATTCAAGTATTGATTTATAGGGATTCGATTAGTTTCAGGATTTTATCATGAACTGACATCGGTTAGAGGACCATTGGAGTACTGGACAGCTGTTTCGTCGGCCTAGTTTGGGACTCTTCATCAGTACGTACCCCCCACCAGGGTTCGAACCGAGGACCTTTTGGTTACAAGACGAGCTCGCAGACCATTAAGCCGCCGGGACCCAATCCAATGGCTGATGACATTCGCGAGTGGTCACGCCATAACATGAATTAGCAGAAGTTGGAATTCATGGACCCTAGGCTGACGAAACAGTTGTCCAGTACTCCCTGCAGGTTTTCCAATAGTCCTCTAACCGATGATGTCAGTTCATGATGAAATCCTGTTAATAATTAATTAATAAAAAAAGTATATTTCAAGTAAGAAAACAAAAGGAGTCTGTATATTTGTGTGTGTGTGCATACACTTGTGCATATGTGTAGTGTTGAAAATTTGAAATTTAAACTATTAGCCTGATTCCCTTCATGACTGAATTTAGTAAATAATCACTGAAAATGAGCAGTGCTCCTTGTGAAAAGTCTTAAGTAACCGCTGAAACTATTGACAGCTTGTACAAAAAAATATAGGTAAAATAAACCATTTCAGTAGAAAGTATCACCTGTGTTCCTCCCCCCCACACACCCCTCCCACAGTTATTATTCCCTTCTTTTCATACAGTAACAACAACATTTAAACACAACTCACCACCTGAAATATAAACATTTTGCAACCAGTCACCATGCAAAGCGTACGGTAACCAAGCCAGACGAACAATTTGTCCTGTAAGTTAATTCACAGTTTCTCATACTCTCGACTAAATACATAAAAATATGATTTCTAATCAGGTAGAATTCCAATCATAGATAACCACTTACTTTGCTATCGTAAGTTGACATGAC